CTCTGCTGTGGCCATGCCCCCACCTTGTGGCCTATTCCCAACCTTTCCCCTACAGCTTTGCTTACTGCCCCTGATGCATGGCCCATCTCCAGCTCTTGTCCTTGAACCACACAACTGTCCCACAGGCCCATCTCCAAATGGTCTCCTACAGTCATACCAGAGCCCCATGATCCACCTCCAACCCTCATCCCACAAGCCATACCGCCGCCCCATAACCCATCTCCAAACTTCACCCTACAGCCATAAAGCTGCCCCATAGGCCCGACTCCAACCCTCATCCTACCACTGCCACAGGACCTATCTCCAACCCTTACCCTACAACCACCTCTGCCCCACATTTGCCCCACATCCCCAGTTCCACTCACTTGATCTTGCGGTCAAGGTGGTGCTGCACAGAGGGGTCGAGCAGCGGCTCGTGCTCAGAGAACGCCCGGCTTGATGTCGGCGAACCAGGGGGGCCCTGCAGTGTCGGGGAGCACAGAGAGGAAGCTGTGGGTGACAGGGTGTGGGACAGATGTCCCCTTGGTCTGGTGGGTCCCGGCACCCACCGGCATGCTTGTGAGGCGCTGGCCTTCACGCAGGACGTGCAGGTATTGGCGCAGGTCCTGCAGGCGCCCTCGCAGGGCAGCACGGTTGCGGCTGACCTCGCGCAGCTCCCTCGCCAGCTGCTCTGATTGCTCCTGAACTCGTAGAGCCTCGCGGGCCACGGGTGCTGGAGGGTTTTCGGTGCACGGCCCCAGCACTCGCCCAGCCCCCTGCAGCTCCTGCTGCAGGAAGGCTGCAAGAGGAGATGTGGGAGAAGGGATCAAGGGGAAGGACCGCCCCCCCCAACCCAGCTAACCCCAGGTTCAGCACTCACTGAAGGTCTTCTCCATCTCCTCGCAGCGCCGCACCTCGCCCACAAAGCGCCGCTGGAAGGCGCTCACGTGGGGGTTCAGCTGGGGAAAGAGGGGCACAGTCATGGCTGTCAGCACTGGGGTGCACAGCAGCTCCGTCAGCATGCACCCATCCCCAGAGGACCCAAACCCCATGGCCCCTCAGCCCCCAAACCAGCCCACATGTGCCCACAGCAACCCAACTGCTGTGCTCACAGCACCCACACTCACCCATCCCAATTCCCCTGCACCCAGAACACACCAAAGCACCCAAGCTCAATATCCTGCATCCAGAGCATCCACACACACAGCATCCAAACCTACCCATCCCAATCACCTCACACCCACAGCACTCCAAACCATCTATGCCCCATTTCCTGTCCCTAAACCCAATCCCCCACACCCAAACGCCATTGAGTCTCCCCCCTGCACCCGTGCTACCCAAACCCCCAGCCCACCCTGCCCATCCCAACCTGTCCCACCACCCCAAGGCCATACAGATGGGGGTCCCTGCACCCCCTACATACATCCCTGAACTCCAGCAGCCCCCTCTCGCCCAGCTCACTGACACAGCTGTACGCCGAGGCCGAGTGCAGGAAGAGCTGCGCCAGGCAGACCTCCTCACTGCGGAACAGGGACCCCATGGCGGCCTGGTTGGGGGCACCCTGTGTCTGGGAGAGGGAGGTGAGCAGTCAGGGGAGGCTGCAATAGGGGTGGAATGAGATGGAGATGGGACAGATTGGGGTGGAGATAGGATGGGTTGGGGCAGTGGTATGGGATGGAGATGGGGTGGGTTGGAGTGGCGGGATGGAGATAGGATGGTGGGGTATTAGATGGAGAAACGGGATGGAGATGGGGATGGGATTGAGGAACGCGATGTAAAAGGGTTGAGATGGTGGGACGGGGATGGGACAGGCTAGGGTAGAGATGGGGTGGGATGGGGAGATCCTGCCGCCTCTCCTCAGCCGCGCTGTCCCCACGGCAGAGCTGAAGGGCTGGGGCCAGGGGAAGTCACACGGCACTTCCCGGCTGAGTCGGCCGCGGTCACGCCGTTCCCGGCACTTCGCTTGCACAACGCTGTCCCACCCCCAACTCCCTCCTCCCCCCACCCTCCCAACTCCTTCCCCCACCGCTCCACGCGGAGCTCAGCTGCATCTGAGTCACAGCCAACGCGCCCCCGGCCTGGGGGACCGAAACCCCTCATCCCCGCCCCTCGGCCCCGGCGCCCGCCCCATGCTGTCCCTCCCTCCTCCCGGGATTCGCAGCCGTGAGCAACCCGGCACCGCCCGCTCCTACCCGGTGCTCGGTGGGGAGGGCCGGGCTCTTCCTGGGGGAAGAGGAAGTGCGGAGCCCGGCCCTTCGCTGCCCACAGGAACACGCCGGCGCTTCGGGGGCGGCACTCCGGCAGCCGAACCCGCCCCCCAAACCTCCCCAACGCTGGAAACTCCTCCACAAGGTGTCCCCCGCCCCAGTGGGCTGCAGCCCCCAGGACCAACGCATCCTCCCCCCGGCTACAGAATCAGACAAGGCAGGCACGAGCTCGGGTGTAGGAAAGGGCTGGTGGATGCCCACTTTATTAACGGGATTTGGGGGGCACACGGTGTGGTCTCCCCACCATCACCGGTACAGGTAATCAGCCTGGATGTTGGCCGCAATCTCAGCCTCCCACTTGTCGCCGTTGTTGAGCAGCTTCTCCTTGTTGTACAGCAACTCCTCGTGCGTCTCCGTCGAGAACTCAAAGTTGGGACCCTGCAGGGTGGGAGACATTCAGCAAAGGATGCTCAGGGTTCCCATGGCAGGTGGGTCCCGCTCCCACCTCACCTCCACGATGGCGTCCACAGGGCAAGCCTCCTGGCAGAAGCCACAGTAGATGCACTTGGTCATGTCGATGTCGTAGCGCGTGGTGCGGCGGCTGCCGTCTGCCCTGGGCTCAGCCTCGATGGTGATGGCCTGTCCCCAGATACAGTGTCAGAGAAGGGGGAGCCCCGGGAACAGAGGATGGGACACGGGGGGTGCTCACCTGTGCGGGGCAGACGGCCTCACAGAGCTTGCAGGCGATGCAGCGCTCCTCGCCCGATGGGTAGCGGCGCAGCGCGTGTTCCCCACGGAAGCGTGGGCTCAGAGGACCCTTCTCAAAGGGATAATTGATGGTGGCCGGCTCCCGGAACAGGTAGCTCAGTGTCATGGCCAGCCCTGTGGGAGCATAGTGTCACCCCCAAGTGGAGCACGATCTCACCTCAGGGGTGGGACACAGCACAGGGCTCACCTCGGAAGAGCTCTGTCCACAGCAGGGTCTGCGCAGCACGGTCGGTGATGGACTTCATGTCCATAGCCGGCTCCTGGATGTTGACATACTCTGTGGGGGGGCACAACGCCATCCTCACCCTCCACGGAGTGGGGGGACGGCAGCAGCTTCCGCTTTGTGGGGATGGTGATGGGAGGGGAATGGGGTTGGGAAGGGTCAGGGTTGGGATGGGATGGGGACAGGGATGGGGGCAGTACTCACTGTAGCACTCCCGGGGGGTGGTAGTGCTGAGTGCTCGCAGGTAGCACAAAGGGGGAACAGGCGGACCTGGGAAGGACAGAGTGGAGGGGAGGACGTGCCAGCAGCACGGAGCTGGCAATGGGGTGCAGGGTGGTCCCGGTTTGGCCACTTACCTGCCCGGGCAGCCCGGTGCAAGAAGCGTAGCGCTGCCATGTGCTATCCTGCTGCAGGAGATGCTCAGCACTGAGGGGGTCCTGGGCAGCCCCCCAGCACTGCTTCCCATAAGGGAACACCAGGTGCCCCCCTCCCCCGCACAACACCCCACAGGGGCATCCTAGCAGCTGGGTGAGGGATCTGGGCGTCCTGCCCCCCCTCGCCCCAGAACACACACGGGACTTCCACCTCCTGCCCCCCACCCAAGAGAACCGGGTGTCCTGTCCACATTCACTCTCCCACAACACAAAATGGAGCCGAATTTCCTGCCCCTTCCCCACGCAAGGAAATCCCACATCGCCCTCCCTTTGAGATGACACTTCAACCCCAAGCCTCCCCCAACCCCAAGTCCCTCCAGGCCCCCTTTCCGCCCCCAGGCCTCACCTCCCCCAAGGACCCAGCCGTCCTGACCCCTGGCCCGCCCCCAAGGTGCAGTGCGCAGCCGCGGGGAGCAGCAGCGCATGCGCACAGCGGTGCTGGCTTCACCGGGCGGGACCACAGCCACGTTTCGCACTCTATTGGCCGCTGCAAGCCGATTGGCGGCAGTAATAACCATTCGTGCGGGAGAAGGGGCGGGCTTCCTCGCGGATTGGCTAGGGGATGGCAGGGCGGCGCGGCGATTGGTCAGGCGGAGATGAGGGCGGAAGGAAGCGTTTATTGAGACGGCGCTCAAAGCAGCGTGCAGGCGACGGTGCGGCGGCGGCTCTCCACGGTGGTGCGGAGTAGCGGCAGGCGGCGCGGGGCGTACGGCGGGTAGCGGAGGTTGTTCAGCGCCTCCCGGCCGTCGGCACGGAGCAGGACCGAGCGGAGGTGCGAGAAGGTCTCGAAGGTGAAACGGCCGTGGTAGCGGCCCATGCCGCTTAGCCCTGAACGAGTGAATGAAGCCTCAGGGCCTGCGACGGTGCTAGGCCGCGGCACTGAGGGTGAAGGAGGACCTGGACCTGGACCTGATAGACGGGGCAGAGGGATGGACGGACAGAGGGATGGGTGGACGGCCCAGCAGGTAGACAGGTGGATGGACAGACAGGCAGATGGACAAAGAGGCAGACGGAAAGACAGATGGACATACCGATGCCACCAAAAGGCAGTGAAGTCAGTGTCATGTGCATGATGGTGTCATTGGCACAGAAGCCACCACTGCTTGTCCGCTCCAGCAGCTGACGAACCACCTTGGATGGGGGAACGTGAACAATGAGCACTATGAGCAGTCACCCCATGTTGTCCCTGTGGATACTGGGACGTGGAGGAAGCTGCCACCTTTGTGCTGGATGAGAAGACATAGAGTGTCAGTGGCCGTTCCCGGGCATTGATGAAGGTGATGGCATCCTCCTCACTGGTCACTGTCAAAATGGGCAACACAGGGCCAAAGATCTCTTCCCGCATCACTGGGTCATTCTCCTGGACGTCCACCAGCACTGTGGGGGCTGCAGGAGCAGAGACAGGTCATCCCGCACCAGATCCAGCAAGGGACCCCCCCGCGCATGCTGTGCCCTCACCGATGTAGCGCTCCTTCTCGTCCGTCTGTCCCCCGATGGCCACACGCCCGCTGCGCAGCAGCGCCTGCACTCGCTGGAACTGTTTGTCTCCCACGATGCGGGCAAAGTCAGGGGAATTGCGGGGTTCGGGGCCGTAGAACTCTGCGATGGCCTCACGCAGAGCAGGCACCAGCCTCTCCCGCATCTCCACGCTGCACAGGACGTAGTCAGGCGCAACACAGGTCTGCCCCGCATTGAAGAAGCGTCCCCAGGCCACCCGCCGGGCCACGTTCTGCACATTGCAGTTGTCAGACACGTAGCAGGGGTTCTTGCCCCCCAGCTCCAGCGTCACCGGTGTCAGGTGCTTGGCAGCAGCCGTCATTATGATCCTGCCCACTGAGGGGCTGCCTGTGGACAAGGGTTGTAGCGTAAGCTGATCTTGTCCATTTCCTTTTGTGTCTCCTTGCCTTGGAGGTGTAACCAAAGCCTCCCCATGGGACGCACCAGTGAAGAAGATGTAGTCAAACTTGTTCTCCAGCAGCCTGGTGGTCTCCTCCACTCCGGCAGTTACCACAGCAAAGCAGTCCTGTGGTTTAGGAGAATGATACAGGATACAACTCAGCTGTGGGTTTTTTTTTTTTGTTTTTTTTTTTTTTTTGTTTTTTTTTTTTTTGTCAGGATATAGAGGGACAAGAAGCTGTGGCCAGCAGCCTTCCTACCTTGTCAAGGTAGCTGGGCAATGCCTCGGCCACCAGCCTCTCCATGTTCCTGCTGATTTCGGAGGGTTTCAGTACAACACAGTTACCTGTAGGACAAGAGCTCCTTCCCAGTGAGGAGCTGGCTCTTGGGGAGCAGAGAAACCCACCACCATCACCGCCCTTGGGGTTGGGAACTCAGGTTGCCTACGTGGAGGTCCTGGTACCCTCGTTGGGTAGTAGGGATGCAGCCTCAGCCTTACCAGCAGCGATGGCCCCAATGAGGGGCACTAGGAGGAGGTTGATGGGGTAGTTCCAGGGCCCGATGATGAGCACTACCCCATAGGGGTCCTTGTGGATGAAGGCCGAGTCCAGCTGTGTTGCCTGCAGCAGGAAGGAGATTGTTAAGGACCCACTGTTCCGATCCTGCCCATCCCTGGCAGATGCCATCCTGTACCCAATTCTTGTCCACGTTCTCGTCCTTCATCCAGGCACCCAGGTTGTTTAGCGTGTGGTTGAGCTCACTCCTGCAGATGGATATCTCAGAGAGTTCCACTTCGAAGGATGGCTGAGGACATGCAGGAAGACATCATGGTCACTACCATCACCCCACTGCAATGGTTTTCCTCCCAAGCCCCACGCTCACCCTCCTAGTAGGGTGTGGTGGCCTCAGTAGGGCCAGATGCCACTGTTGGCCTTGTGCTGTGAAGACAGGTGGCACTGTCTTCCATGTCTACCACATGCCACCTATGTAACAATGTGCTACCTGGCCCCATACCACTCTGTGCCACCGTGTTCTGGGGCATAGCAGAGACTCAGGTTTGGAGACACATGTTTGGTATCTCAAGAGCTTTAGCTCCACTGATAGTAGAACAACACATGCAGCTCTGGAGGTGCGGATGGGCACAAGGAATTGAATTGTGCTCAGCAAAAGCTTCTGCAGAGCTGACTGAACCTAATTCTGTGTGATCAGGAGGCCTGCTTTGTGGTGTCCCATTGTGGGTGTCTCCAAAGCTGAGTTGAAGGTCACAGCAAAAAGCAGAGGCCACCTCTCCCCAAGCAACCATGCGACAACCCCAGAGAAGTGCAGATGAGCAAAAGGGAGGAAACTGATGGAGAACAGATAGGAAAAAATGAGGGGGAAAAAGTGAAGGAAAGTCAAGCACTTCTCACCAGCAGCCCCATCCCTCTCACCTTGCGCATGTCCAAGGCAGTGGCCTCCAGGATGTCCTGCTTCTTCTCCTCCAGGAATCGGCCCAGGGCCTCCAGCTGGGCTGTACGGTATTCCAAGGGCCGTGTCCTCCCTGAGAGCCAGGCTGCCCGCAGGTGGCTCACCAGCCCTGCGTGGTCACTCATGGCACAGGGTGGCTGTGAGCTGGTGAGGATGGGAGATGTCACCCCCCCTGAGGTGGAGGAGAACACCCAGTGCCAGGGTGAAATCCACCATCATGTACCAAGCTCCTGTTGCAGCATGCTGCGTATGCCTGGCCATAAAGCACAGCCAAGAGCAATGTGACCCTGTGCTGGGCAAAGATCAGGGTGCATCAGAGTCTGTCTTCATGCTCAAGAATGCATGTCTGTGAGTGTATTACAGATTGCTTGAAATCACTGCTGCTAAACATATATCAATGCACTTTTTAGGTTATATAGATTTCCCACTAGAGAAGTAAGCACATGGACTGTTCATCCATACACATAAAGTAAGTACAGACTTACAGCCATTCAGCCATACACACATCTTAGCTATTTATGATATTGGTGGCACAACACTTGCCAAATCTCTACCTGGAGTCAATCGAAGACAGAGCAGCCTTTGGAGAGAGTCTGTGCTGTGGAGTGCAGTGTTATCCCGACATCCCTAGCAGTCTTCTGTCTGTCTGTCCAATGCAGAAAAGGGTTTGGATGTGTTTGTGTGAAAATCCGTCTAGGACAGATAAGGATCCGGAATCTTTATGCCTGATTTGCATATTGGGAAGTGGGCGTAGAGCACAATCTTCCTGCTTGAGTCTTGATCTTGGTTTCTTTGTCTTGCTGGCTACGCCTCAACAAGAAGGGCACCAGGCGAGCATATCAGAGTCATTCGGGCCTCCAGCCAAGCACATGGGAGAGGTCTCAGGTTCCACAGCCAAGCCAGCATCCACCTTCACCAGCATGTTCCCTGGCTTGTCTGTCAGGTGAACCCAACAAGAAGTTTGGCTTTGTGAGCCAAGGCGCTGGAGTTTGGTTCTCACTCTCTTAAGGTACAGGATGGGGTGAGGAACAGGAGGCATACGGAACTGGGAGCTTCATCTGCCGACAGTCAGCCAGTCACCAGCCAAACCTCTCGAGCACCTTGACCCCCTTCTTTGGAAGCACTTATCAGCCTGATAATCACTGTTTGGCCAGTGGACTTGATCAGCACAAAGTTCACAGACACCAAGGTGAATAAGTGCAGTTATCTTTACTTCAGCAAGATAAGTGAGATTAAACAGCAAAGATAGAACGCGGCAATGCACTTAACCATTAGTACATGAGGATTGTGATTAAGAAAGTTATGTCCCCAATTGCCCTCATACTTTACCTTCATCCAGATCTGCAGTTGCTGGGAGCCCAGTTGCAGCAATGATCTGGAGAGCCTTTCCCAGCAACTGGGAGGGCCTGCGTGATGCATCTGCTCATAGGTGAGGGCTCCAACTTCACAAGGGTCCAGCTGGGCATGGGTGGATGTGGGGAGCACGGGGAGATATGAGGGGTGGTGGGAGATGCGTGGGACATGCCAGGAGACATGGGGGAAGTGGGAGTTGGGGGGCACTGAGGGCAAAGTGGGGCACCAAGAACTGGGGGCCACCATCTATAGTTGGTTCCACCCCCAAGCCCCAACTCTTTTCTTTTCTCCCATCCCACTGGCTACCAGCTCCACCCCACGCTGATAGGCAGGAGGCCCTGGGTGTCACCAAGCCAGCGACAGGTACAGCGAGGCACTTGGAGTCAACAGACGACATTGATGGCTGGAGGGCCCCCGCGGCTGTGGAGGCACCAGGGCGGTCGTGGCGGTGCCTCAGAGCAGGAGGCATTCCCCCCGGCGCTTGACCGAGGTGGCAGCGCGGACCAGCCCCATCTTGTGGGCGCTGTAAGGGGGGTAGCGCAGGGTGTTGATGGGCTCCAGGCCGGTGCCACGCTGCAGGCAGCCGCGGTGGTGGGTGAAGGTGTCGAAGGTGAACTGGCCGTGGTACATCCCCAGACCGCTGGACCCTGCAACGCACAGCATACAGCGACCCGCGGTCGGTGAGCCGAGGAGAAACGTGGGGAGGGCTTGGGAGGGCAGCGGGACAGAGAGCGAGGGGTGGAGGGGCCCCCAACAAGGCTTCTGGGCTCCCGGGTGGGGGAAAAGCTCCCGGCCGCACTCGCAACCTCAGTGTCACCGTTTGCGTTCTTTAGCCCCAGCGCAAAGCGCTGAGCACCGGGCGAGGCTCAGAAAACGTGGGCAGAACAATACTTTGGCAGGGCATCACCTCCTCGCTAGGAGGAGCTGTGTCCTCGAAAGCCTCTGAGCCGAGGCGGGCAGGCTGAAGCCTTTCTCCTCATACCGCTGCCTAGGGGAGAGGATCTGAAGTGCCGCCTCCTTGCTGCCCTCGTGCAGAGGAGCTGAGCTGTTCCCAGCCTCATGTGGTTCTTCTTAAAGCTTTTGATAAACAGGTTTCATTTCTTTGTCTTTCTTTCTTCTTGCACTGCAGCTTCCTCCTTCCCCTCTCAAGTTTCTGTTCTGTTTTTGGCTCTAAATGCAGCAGTGGAAGTTCCTGGTCCCAAAACCTCAGGTGGTGCCAGAGTGGCTCAGAGCAGACAGCAGCAAGCAAGAGCTTCCATCAGCCCCACTTACCTACTGCAGCATCTTCTCTACCATGAGCACAGCCTCCCCAAAACACCTCCTCACTCTACGAGGTCGTGGTGATCTTTCAAGGTCCCTTCCAACCTTCAAGGTCCCTTCCAACCTTCCTGTGCTGTTGTTCAGTGGTTGTTCATACTCAGCCCCAAGAGGCAGGGAGATCACTGAGCCAGCTGAAACCTCTTCTGGAGAACAGGAGCTGGCAGTAAAGCTCATCCTCAAGCCTGGGTGTCTCCATCATCTATACTCCTTCATCACCAAGGAAAAAGCAAAGCGCTTCTTGCTAATATGTTTGCTTTTTTTTTTTTTTTTAACCTAAATAGAATGGGTCAGAAGAGTGACGGTCCCAAAGTGCTGTTTCTGTCCCTGAGCTGTGAAACCACATGTCACCGGGGTGCTGTGGTGTTCAGGAGTTTCCTGGAACTTAAGGAGAACTTGAGTAAGTGCCCTTCTGGCATAGCAAATCCTCTGATCTGGAAACAGATGGAGGCTGGGAGACCTTCTGGAGGTCCACACGTGCTCTGCTCCTACTCACACATCTGCATAGGGTTGTGATAGAAAAGAGTGCAGAACTGGACCCAGCTTTGCCTGTGCAAGACTTCAGAGAAAGAAAGGGTGGGCAGAAAGCATCTACAGTGGCTCAGAAGTCAGCCGGCACATAGGAGCGTAGGACTTACAGTGGATATGGACTTCCTTCGTGTCATGAGGGATTCCTTGCACAGTGTTTGGAGTTCATCAAATGCAAATCTAAAAGCACTGCCTGGTGGCCAGGATACATACAGAGGAGACCACAGCGTCACAGGAAATAGAGCAACAGCTGCCTTTTCCAGGAGGAAACCCCCAGCAAAAGGGTCAGAATAAGATTTAGAGCTTTTCAGGGTCTGCCAAAAATCTTTGCAAAAAGCTTTGTGTGGAGCAATGAGAAGGACCACCAGGAGTTGCACATTCTTCAATGATTTCTCAGTTCTGAGATGGGATGATGGTAAATGCTTGTGAAGCTTTTCCTTGTCATGTCTCCAGATCCAGATGATCTGGATTCAGTGCTGTCTATACCTCAAGAGCTTTCTGCAATATGTGGCTTCAGGTGTTTGCTGAAAGGGACTTCATATGCTTAGAAATTCATAGGAAATTGTGCTGTATTCAGACCTGCAGCCCAAAATGAAGATCCTTGAAAAACTTAAAGTCTAGAGATATTCCTCTGCTGGCGCTATCTCAGATTTCCTACTTCTTAAATAAGACATCTCCACATACATAAGGAATGCTGCCTGGGACAGCAACCACTGAGAGAAGAAAGCTTTCGGTGCTTTTCACACACTGTGGCTGCAAAGCCATGGAGCTCAGCCCTGGGAGCTGAAGCCAAGGGTGCAGGTGGGACAAGCTGGGGGCTCGCATCTGCCTCAAGCTTGGAGGCTTGGACCTACCGATACCACCGAAGGGCAGCGAGGTCAGCGTCACGTGCATCAGGGTGTCGTTGCCACAGAAGCCCCCGCTGCTCGTCCTCTCCAGCACTTGGTTCACCTCCTGGAGGGAGCACAGAAGGGGACATGGTGCTGATGCCGTGACCCCAGCTGCCATCCATCCTGCAGAGCCAGGGCCAAAATCCTTCAGCCAAAATCTTTGGTGAGGAGAGTTGGCCAGATGCACAGCCAGGGCACTCTACCTTGTTGTCGGAGGAGAAGGCATACACAACCAGAGGCCGTTCATGGCTGTTGATGAAGTCAATGGCTTCATCCATATTGGCCACTGTAATGATGAGCAGGATAGGGCCAAAGATCTCCTCCTGCATGGCAAGGTCAGAGGGCTTCACATCCACCAGCACAGTAGGGGCTGCAAAGAAAGAAACCTGAAGGTGTCAGCCGTGCCTGGAGGTTGGGGATGCTATCTTCATCTACAGTGCACAGGTCCCTCCTCTAAGGCCGGATGCCTCACCAAGCTGCCATGCAAACTAAATGTCCCTTCTCTCTCCTCTCTGGCTGCAAGACCCTGTCCAAAATCCACACCACCTTATGCAAGGGTGAGCAGGATTATCTGAAATTCAAGCCCTCACCGATGTAGCGCTCCTCCTCGTCCGTCTGTCCCCCGATGGCCACACGCCCGCTGCTCAACAGCGCCCGCACGCGCTGGAACTGTTTGTCCCCCACAATGCGGGCAAAGTCAGGGGAATTGCGGGGCTCAGAGCCATAGAACTCTGTGATGGCCTCACGCAGAGCAGGCATCAGCTTCTCCTGCATCTCCATGCTGCACAGGACGTAGTCGGGCGCAATGCAGGTCTGCCCCGCATTGA